CCAAAGTGCTGGGATTACAGGCATGAGCCACTGTGCCTGGCCCAAGAATGGTGAATTTCAATAGTAGTGTAATACTTACATATAATATGGGAAAAAGTAGAGAAATTACTTTGGGGAAAGGAAGGAATTTTTAAACAAGCCACAAGTGCAAACTTACAAGAAAAGATGAATAAATCTGACTATACTAAAATAAAAGCTTTTGTCATCAACAGATACCACAAAAACAAAAAAGTGAAAAGACAGGCCTCAACCTGGGGTGAGGGTGTGGGGATGGGTTATATATCACACGTTACCATTAGGGATTACTGCCTAGATCCAGAGATCTCCAAATCAATGAGACAAAAACAATGAATCAACAGAAAGATGCACTAAAGCATGAATAAGCTGTTTACAGAAAAGAAAACATACATGACCACATAAACATACAAACATATAAAAAGATACTCAATCTCATTAGCAACCAGAGAAATGCAAAATAAAACCACAGTAGGAGGCCATTTTGTACCCACCAGGTTGGCAAAAATTCAAAAGCCTGAAAATGCCAAGTGTTGGCAAGGTTGTCTTATATGTTGTTTTGGGTATGTAACTTGGCATCACCACTTTGGAAAACAATTTGGCATTGCCTTGTCAAGTGCCTTCCATACAGCTCAGCCATATTCACTCTTGGAGATACACCCTGAAGAGGCCCTTGCCTCTTCTGTGCCAGGGGCTTTCATGCAAGACTAACAGTGATGAACATATGACATAACCAAACCTCACAAACACGATGAGCGAAAAAGACAAGCCGCTTAAGCATATGTATAGTATCCATTTGTGTAAAGTCCAATGGATAACTATACGGAAAATGATCCTCAGCTGGGCATGGACTCACGCCTGTAATCCCAGCACTTTGGGAGGTTGAGATGGGTAGATGCTCGAGTCTAGAAGTTTGAGACCAGCTTGGGCAACATAACGAAAACTCGTCTTTACAAAAAATACAAAAAATAGCTGAGTGTGGTGGTGCACGCCTGTAGTCCGAGCTACACGGGAGGCTAAGGTAAGAGGATCACCTGAGCCTGGAAGGTAGAAGCTGCAGTGAGCCATGATTGTACTGCTGCACTCCAGCCTGGGCGACACAGTGAGATCTTGTCTCAGAAAGAAAAAAAAAAAGAGGTCAGGCACGATGGCTCATACCTGTAATCCCAGCATTTTGGGAGGCCGAGGAGGATGAATCACAAGGTCAGGAGTATGAGACCAGGCTGGCCAACATGAGACAATGGTAAAATCTTGTCTCTACCAAAATACGAAAAAATTAGCTGGCGTAGTGGCGTTCGCCAGCAATCACAGCTACTCAGGAGGCTGAGGCAGGAGAATCACTGAACCCGGGAGGCAGAGGTTGCAGTCAGCCAAGATCAGGCCACTGCACTCCAGTCTGGGTGGCAGAGTAAGACACCATCTTGGGGCGGGGCAGGGGGTGAGAAAGAAAATGATTCTCATAATCCATATTTTAAATAATACAGGCAAGAACATTATAAACACGGAGTTCTAAAACTAGGGTTGTCCTAGGGGCTTAAGGGAAATGGAGAGGATTGCAGACTGAGGGGGCAGAGGGGACTTCCAAACACGGGCCACCTCCTCTTTCTCAAAGGAGGTGCTGAATATGTGGCATCTTTATTTTTGTTCTTTGTACCACAGACACATTATACACTTTTTTGTTTTTTTTTGAGATGGAGTTTCACTTTTGTTGCCTAGGCTGGAGTGCAATGATGCCATCTTGGCTCACTGCAACCTCCACCCCCTGGGTTCAAGCAATTCTCGTGCCTCAGCTTCCCGAGTAGCTGGGATTACAGGCATGTCCACCACGCCTAGCTAATTTTGTATTTCTGGTAGAAGTTTTCTCCATGTTGGTCAGGCTGGTCTCGAACTCCCGACCTCAGGTGATCTGCCTGTATCGGCCTCCCAAAGTGCTGGGATTACAGGCGTGAACCACCTCGCCTGGCCTCATTATGCACCTTTAAAAAAGTCAGCAAACTGGGCAGGGTGAGGTGGCTCACACCTATAATCCCAGCACTTTGGGAGGCCGAGGCCAGTGGATCACAAGGTCAGGAGATGGAGACCATCCTGGCTAGCACGGTGAAACCCTGTCCCTACTAAAAATACAAAAAATTAGCTGAGTGTGGTGGCGTGAGCCTGTAGTCCCAGCTACTGGGGAGGCTGAGGCAGGAGAATCACTTGAACCCGGGAGGCGGAGGTTGCAGTGAGCTGAGATCGTGCCACTGCACTCCAGTCTGGGCCACAGAGCGACACTCTGATTCAAATAAATAAATAAATAAATAAATAAACAGCAATCTATGTCATATGGGAAAGGACTTAAATTTGAGGGACCTGAGTAACTATTACATGTCAAAGAGATTTTTTTTTTCTGCATGTCTCTAACGGCAAAATTAAGATCAAACAGCTGACCTTCCTGGGATGCAGATTTTAGCCTCTGATAAGTAAGGCCTTGTAATGCTTGTGCCATGTGGTACATGTTTACCTCTTGACTGGTTTTTGCAAGAGCTCTCACTAACTTGAGCTCAGTCCACTCATAAACACTGTGAGACAGGAAGAGGAGGCATTGGTATCTTCATTTTATGAGCATAAAACTGGACAGACATTAAACTGGGGTGAAGTACCCAGGAACAGGAGCCTGGCCAAGACTCCAGGCTGGATTCCTAGTCCCGGATGCTTTCTATGATATTCTTGAGTCCCTGTATCTGTCTGTGATGGGGTGCTCCATCCCCAACGTGTCCCAGGCAGGTTCCTGTATGGTGGGAGAAGATGGACCCCTGGCTCCCAGCTAGGGGCCCAGGCAGGCCTTCCAGGTGGATGCAGGGCTCCCTTTCACGCTGCAGGCATCACCAAGGTCCCAGTTAATATAGGAATGTCTTTCTCCAGGAGGTCCATTTGCCTGCTGTGGTAGGGGCACTGTGGCATGGAGCCCTCAAAAGGACAAGGACTGTGGCTGAAACCCCCCTTCTAAGTGACCCTCCCTTGTAGAGTACCGCTTTCTGGACTCCTGTCATGACATAGGCAGGACCGAAGCCATCCACCCGCTTGAACTGGGGCTTCAGGCAGACTGAGCGAATGAAGTGAACGTTATGGCAGGAAAATCTGGTGTCTTTTTCTTCCTCCCCTCAAAATCTCCCTAGCCCTCATCTGACCGGCGGGGAAATGGGTGAGAAGGTGGGTGGCCTCGCGTTGGGGGTGGTTCTCAGGGGCGGTGCCCTCAGGCCCTCACCCACTCCCCACTGCCCGCTTGCAGAGCAGCACGTGCTGGCAGAGCTGGAGCGGCAGGCGGTGCTGGTGTACACGCCTTCCCGCAAGGTGCACGGGAAGCGCCTGGTTTGCTACGACGACCGCTACATCGTGAAGGTGGCCTACGAGCAGGACGGCGTCATCGTCTCCAACGACAACTACCGGGACCTGCAGAGCGAGAACCCTGAGTGGAAGTGGTTCATCGAGCAGAGGCTGCTCATGTTCTCCTTCGTCAACGACCGGTATGGCCGGCGGGCATCCTGACACTGAGGGCGGGGGCGGGGCAGAGGCGACGCTGCTTCCAGGCAGTGGGACTTGGGGTCACCCAACCCCACAGACAGAGCTCCCCCAGGCCTGCTTTCTCCGCAGGTGCCTTCCCCAGTAGGGGAGATGCTTTGCTCTGACCTTAACTGTTCCCAGGGCCACATCTGACTCACCACAGAGATGCCCAAGTGGTGGGCCAAGCATGGAAGCACGTGCTCAGGGCATCACCTCCTTCAAAAAACAGAATGGCATGCTTCAGGATACTGAAATAGTCATCGTGGGCAAAATCTGTTTTGCCTTTCACTTATTTCAGGTTTTTGTCTTTTTTTTAAAAAAAGTTTTAAATTACATATGGGAGTGGGCAATGGAATTTTTTTTGTTTTGAGACAGGGTCTTGCTCTGTTGCCCCGGTTGGAGTGCAGTGGCATGTTCATGGCTCACTGCAGCCTCAAACACCTGGGGTCAAGCGATCCTCCTGCCTCAGCCTCCCAAAGTGTTGAGATTTTAGGTGTGAGCCACTGAGCCCTGCCCAGGATCTTTTCTTTTGGGCTGTAAAGATCTCCACCTGCCTGGCCCAGCTGCCTCCATACCTCTGGGATGAAATGTTCAGGAGAACCTGGCTGGTTCATGGAGCCCTGAAATAGTCCCCTTGCGTCAGTTCATCCCAGACCAACTGGCTATGGCTGGGGGCGGAGCAGGACGCCGGGGTCACAGGCACAAACCGCTCAGCAGGGGGCAAGGACAGACCCTGGCGAGGAGGGAGAGTCTGGAGGCCAGAACAGAGTGTGGCAGAGCACAGCCAGCGGAGCTGCTGCTCCCACGTCCACTTCTGTTCCAGGCGGTAGCCTCGCGCTCATTCTGGGCCTTCTGACTGACTTTTCGGAACGCAGCTTGAGACAAACTCCTGAGCTCTGCGGGGGCAGGGGCTGTACGACTTACGTGCGGTGCCCCCATCCTGCCTGGCCCACAGGCGTGCAATAACTAGCTGTAGAGGAACTCCCGAGTGAATGGCTGTGGCCCGGGGAAGGGGGATGGGGAGAGGGGTCTGGGCTCAGGCTGCCTGCACACGGCCAAGCACCTCCTGACTTCTGATCCAGGGACACAGTGTGATGTTGGGGAAGGAGCTGGGGCTTTGGAGCAGGCAGGTGAGGTTTCCATCTGAGTCCCTGCCACGTACTGTCTGGGGGTCAAGGGGGAACCACTCAACCTCTCTGAGCTGAATGTTCTTCACTTGGAAAAGGGATGAAAAATAATAGCACCTCTGAGATCATTGTGAGGGCCAGAGAGAATTGTGCCCCAGGAGTGGTAGCAGCTGCTCTTAGGACATGGTACCCCAGTGGGTACTGTGGTCCCCACAGCCACCCGCTTGTGCAGCCGTGGAGGTGGAGGGGCAGAGGCACGGCAGCAGCGCCCTGCAGGAGCCCCCACTGTTTTTTCAGCTACAAAAGGCCAGTGGCTCTCACTGTCCAGCTGTGGCCTGGAGTCAACTGGCTGGTCTGCTAACTGTGGGCTCCAGAAATCCTCACTGTGCTCTCAGGGGCCTGGCCATCTCTGGCCTGATGACAGCCTGGGGCCAGGGCCAAGTCCTTTTGATGCACTGCCTCCGTTATGGGCCTGCCAGAAGGCAGGGCCTGCCGCCCACTTGTGAACGAGGGCGCCCGTCCTGGTGCCCTGGGCACGTCCACAGGGCCCTTTTGGCACAGCTCCTACTCCTGAGAGAGCAGGAGAGGAAGTCTTTGGGAACTTTTAATAACCACAGTGGGCGGTTCCCCAGATTCTTGGTCAAGGCCCAACTCTGAGAAGCCAGCTGTGCAGCTGGGAGCTGAGCTGCAGAGGTGACACAGGGCCGGGGATCATCCAGCTCCCTGCAGAGTGAGACTTCAGCATGACTGTGGACTTTTAGGGGGACAGCCACCCATAAAAGCATCTCCTCCCCGATTTGGAATCCCAACCTCTCTGCAGAACCTTTGTATGACCTGGAAGTGTCTCTGGAAACAAAAGCATTCATATAAAAAGTGGACCTTACCCAGCGAGGGGTGTTTTCCTTCTGAGGAATTGGATTTTCCCTGCTGAGCCCTTGAGTGAGCATTCCCTTCCTCATTAGGGCTCCATGCCAGGGAGGAGTGAAGGGCAGGTCGGGGGCAGGGGAGCCCTGGAAACAGACCAGTGCTCTGGGAGACCCTGTGCTCCCAGAGTTTGCAGAGGAGGAGGTTAGGTCAGCGAGGAGGCTGTATGTGCAGGCAGCACCTTCCTCACTGATCCAAACTCCCTGTTCCCACTGAACCTCTTCGCCTGGAGGTTCACAGCCCAGAGCTGTGTTTGGCACGGCGTGAAACACAAGGAAAAATGAGACCTAAGCCTCAAGGAGTCCACACAACTCTGAAACTTCTGGAACTGGGTTTTTTGTTTGTTTATTTAGAGATAGAGTTGTCCAGGGTGGACTCCTGGCCTCCAGGGATCCTCCCTCTTCCTCCCTAGTAGCTGTGACTTACAGGCACAGGACACCACGCCCAGCTTTTCTGGAACTGCTTGTTAACCTCATAGAGGTTTGTAACCTTTTGTTGAGGACAATGGGAAGCCAGGGGAGCCCTTAGAGCAATTACGCTTCCATTTTCCTGGGTAAAAATCACCTGGGAAGTTCTTCAAATGCAGATTCCTGGACAACTTCAGATTCTGATGAAGCAGGTCTTGTGTGAAGCTCTGAGACTGTGTTTTAAATTAAATTTAATTAATTTATTTATGTATTTACTTTTTTGCCAGGATCTCACTCTGTCACCTAGGCTGGAGTGCAGTGGCATGAGCGTGACTCACTGCGGCCTCCATCTCCCAGGCTCAGCCATCCTCCCACCTCAGCCTCCTGAGTAGCTGGGTCTAAAGACATTCACTACTACACCTGGCTGATTATCTTTTATTATTATGTTTTTAGACAGAGCTTCATTCTTGTTGCCCAGGCTGGAGCGCAATGGCACGATAGTGGCTCACTGCAACCTCTGCCTCCCGGGTTCAAGCAATTCTCCTGCTTCAGCCTCTGAAGTAGCTGGGATTACAGGCGCCCACCACCACGCCTGGCTAATTTTTTGTATTTTTAGTAGAGACGGGGTTTCACCATGCTGGCCAGGCTGGTTTTGAACTCCTTACCTCAGGTGATTTGCCTGCCTCGGCCTCCCTAAGTGCTGGGATTACAGGCGTGAGCCACCGTGCCCTGCCTCTTTTTTAAAACTTTTTTTTTTTTTTTTTTTTTGAGACGGAGTTTCGCTCTTGTTACCCAGGCTGGAGTGCAATGGCGTGATCTCGGCTCACCGCAACCTCCGCCTTCCGGGTTCAGGCAATTCTCCTGCCTCAGCCTCCTGAGTAGCTGGGATTACAGGCACGCACCACCATGCCCAGCTAATTTTTTGTATTTTTAGTAGAGACGGGGTTTCACCATGTTGACCAGGTTGGTCTCGATCTCTTGACCTCGTGATCCGCCCGCCTCGGCCTCCCAAAGTGCTGGGATTACAGGCGTGAGCCACCGCGCCCGGCCCTTTAAAACTTTTTATAGAGACAATGTTTCACTATGTTGCCCAGGCTGGTCTTGAACTCCTGAGCTCTAGGGATCCTTCCCAAAGTGTTGGGACTACCCATGTGAACCACTGCACTCAGCTGACTGCATTTTTAAGTTGCTAGGTGATTCTGACACTGCTTGCTTGAATCACAGCAGGAGAAACACCCAAAGAGGCCCAGAGCTGTGCTGTGTGCTCTGCATGGGGTTCGGTGTGAAGGAGAGGTTTTGCTTGAAGATGCTGTGACATCCGCTGGGTGATGGTGGGCCCAGGCCGAATGCTTCCTGGTGCTCTCAGGGAGCTTGGGCCTGCACTCTTTGTACAGGTGCTGCTGCCAAATCCCAGGTGGCCTTGCAGCTGCCTCTGTGCTTATTTTCCAGGTTCATGCCTCCTGATGACCCCCTGGGTCGCCATGGACCCACCCTGAGCAACTTCCTAAGCCGGAAGCCGAAGCCCCCAGAGCCATCCTGGCAGCATTGTCCCTATGGTGAGTAATGCCCAGTGCTTCACCAGCCCTGTTTAGGGTCTTGTGTGGGGGCAGTACAGAAGCACAGACAAAAGCACTGGCCTGGGCTCAGCAGCCTGGGTGCTTGCCTGAATTCTGCCCTCCAGCTATGCCACCCTGGAGAGTTAACTTTCCTGACAGGGTTATTGTAGAACTGACATCCTGGCAGGTGATGGCATGGGGGCGAGGGTCCCTTGCCAGGGTCAGATGCAGGGGTCTCACACATAGCAAAGTTGTGCCTGAGAAATGGGGAGGCTGGATGCACACCCAGCTCCGGGTCTCAGTCCCTTTACCTGGCCCCTGGCAGCTTCTGTCCTCACTCCGCCCAGCTCCCCACCCTTCCACCTATGGACTGTGGTCACTGCTATCCATAAAGAGTTAAGCATTTATCCCAGCACCCTGGGGGATGCCAGCCTTCTAGCCAGCTCTTTCACTGACTTGCTTCACCAAGTTATTTGATGTCTTGAAGTTCAGTAAAGACTTGGGTGACATTCAGTCATTTCTTTTTAGAATTAGGTGACCATACATACATTCTGCCTGGCTCCTCCTGCCCCCTTTCACTCTCAGAAGCCCTGGGTTTGGATATTTGTTCAGGACTCTGTTAGAACAGCGTGCAGGGAGAGGGCAAGGGTTAACACAGGGAACATGGAGAACGCTGGGGACTGAGGCGGCATTGCAGGCGCAGCCTTATGCCCTGAGCACCCACGCTCTACCGCCCTCTCCCTAAGCCTGGCCCTATCCACGAGGTCCCTGGGGAAGTGGAGGCTGAAAGTCTTTGAATCCAGAGATTTGGTCTTAGTCCCTGGTCAAAGGGACCTGGGACCGACACTCCTCTGCGGACCCTGGGATTAGTGTGTCCAGCAGCCCCTCTCCCAGGCCGCCCGCGCCCCCCTGGGCACTTCTCCCCACGTCGGCCCAGCGCCCGGATCCTGAGGCGTTTCCAGAGCGCTAAGTCCGGAGTCCAGGGCGGCCTGGGGGCCTGCCTGGAGGAATCTCCACCTAGATGCCGCGGGCGGGCACTCCCTAGATGCACCAGGCAGCACCATCTCTCTGCGCCCCGGCCTCACGCCGTGTCCTCTCTGCCCCTGCCCCTTTCAGGCAAGAAATGCACCTACGGCATCAAGTGCAAGTTCTACCACCCGGAGAGGCCGCACCACGCGCAGCTGGCGGTGGCCGACGAGCTCCGCGCCAAGACTGGCGCCCGGACTGGCGCTGGCGCCGGTGCAGAGGAGCGGCGGCCTCCGAGCGCCGCGGGAGGCCCTGCAGGAGCCCGGGCGGTCCCCCGGGAGCCGATTGCTCACAGCCTCCTGCCAGCGCGGGGGTCCCTGGACCTGGCTGCCCTGCGGGGGAGTTTCTCTCTCCTGGCCTTCAGCGACGACCTGGGGCCCCTGGGGCCGCCTCCCCTGGGCCCTGCCTGCGGCCTCGCGCCCGGACTGGGCGGGCCCGACTGGGTGTCCGCGGGTGGCCGGGTGCCCCGGGTTTCGCCATCTTCGCGGGCGGGCGGCGCTGCCACCTCCGAGCTGCCCAGCCTTGGGGCGCCGGGGCCAGGCCCACCCGGCCTCCCTAGCCCTCACAACCCGTTCTCCCTGGGTGACCTCCCGCCCCCACCCGGCCTGCAGCTCCAGCCGCGGGGCGAACACCGCCCCAGGGATCTGCACGGGGATCTGCTGCCCCTGCACAGGCAGCCTGACGACCCATGGGCCCGTCCGCCCAGCTCCGACCGCTTCCCGGGGTGCTCCGCTTGGGCGGAGCCGGCCTGGGGCGATGGCGTCACTGGGGGACTCTCAGGGTACTCTGTCGAGGACGGCGAGGGAGACGCGCGCGCCCAGGCTCGCCTCGCGCTCTACAGCGTCTTTCCGCGCGACCACGTGGACGGCGTGATGGCCGCATTCCCCACGCTCTCTGACTTCTCCAGGCTCATCCTCCTAGTCCAGAGATCCCAAAGCGCGCGGGCGACCCTGGGCAAGCCCTAAGGGACCACCACGCTCTTGCAGAGAATGGCCCAGCCTCACCTTGCGTCTTGGACGGGTGGACCAGTGGTTGCCAGCCTTGACCTGAGTGGGCCCACCTTGGCACCCCCATTTCTTTAAAGATGGTCAGGGACGCCTGCTTCCACCTCCTTATCGGGGTTGGGCGGGGGCCTGGTGGCACTTGGTGACCCTCACCGAGGCTGGGACCTGCTGCGGGGAGGACCCCCACTTCCGTGGAGGGAGTGATTTTCCACGTGCACGGAGACTGCAGCTCCAAGCTGCAGTGGAATCCACAAGTGGGTCACAAAATCAATTTAGTGGGTCACCCCCACAAACACAGCGGACTGGAACAGCTCAGAGCACACCCTGTGCAATCAGGCTGAGTCTGAACTCTTGTTACCTAGCCTGTGCTCCTACCCCCTTGGCAGCCATGTAACTAACCTTAGTGTGGGTCGTGGTCAGAAGTTTGACAAAGACTGGTGATTGGTCTTGAATTTCATTACATCAGATAATGTTGGAAATAGCAGTCAGGTGGCCGAGAGAGGTTTGCCATCCGGAAGTTTTCATGTTAGCTATTGCTAACCCCACCTGCAAGGGGAGCCCAGACTTCAGGTGTGGGCTCTGCTGTGCTCGGAATTGTGTAGCTGTATCTTGCTGGGGACGAGTGGAAGGATCGCGTTGTCCCAGGGCCACCTTCTGGGGCCTTCACTCCCCTTCACACACACTTATACCACACCACACAAATACAAGCACACACAAGTATGCAGTCTCACACATGTACACACTCACACACATCACACAGACACATCTTTTGGCTCAGGGTTAAATATTTCCATTTTTTTTTTTAGACATTCATCATGTCAATTTCCAGAACAGGCCTTCTACTCTACCAGCTGAGTATCCGTGGCTGCCGCCTCCTCCTCCTGCTCCTCCTTCTTCTTTTCAAAAGAAACAGAGCCTCAGCCTCATGCAGGTGGCTCACGTCTGTAATCCCAGCAATTTGGGAGGCTGAAGCAGGCAGATCACTTGAGGTCAGGAGTTCAAAACCAGCCTGGCCAACATGGTGAAACCCTGTCTCTACTAAAAATACAAAAAATCAGCCAGGCATGGTGGCATGTGCCTGTAGTCCCAGCTACTCAGGAGGCTGACATGGGAGAATCTCAACCCAGGAGGTGGAGGTTGCAGTGAGTTGAGGTCATCCCGCTGCACTCCAGCCTGGGCAACAGAGTGAGACTGTCAAAAAAAAGAGTCTCACTCTTGAGTACAGTGGTATGATCATAGCTCACTGCAGCCTCAAACTTCTGGACTCAAGCAATCCTCCTGCCTCAGCCTCCTGAGTAACTGGGACTGTAAGCATGAGAGCCACACTTCACAGCTAAACTGGAGTTGGGTGAGTCAGGACTTTTGCTCTGAAATCTACAGGTCAGCAGAAAGCTGTCATGAGCCCAGTCCTAGAGTTTACTGCCATCTTCCTGGTGCCATTTCTTCCAGTCAGCTCCTGCTCTCAGTTTGAGGAGAAGGGGCCTACCCTTTTGCAATGGCTAAGAAGTGAGATGGTGCTGCCAGAGTGTCAATCCCCAAATCCTCAGGGGGCCCTGGCCGCTCCTGGCAGCATCCACCCATTCTGTCCATACCAGCCTCATGCCAGCCCTATGCCAGCCAGACTATGGCTCATTTGTTCACTAGAGGGCTTTGTAGCTTGGCAGTGTTGGGAGAAGCATGAGGCACTTCCCAGGGGAAGACCAGCCCCCAGCCCCACAAGCTTCCTGCAGCCTGTTGGTGCAGAGGGAACTTTTGCCAGTTTATTACCAGATTTCATGAGATGTTGGCAGGCCTGGGGGGCACCACAGAGAAAGTGCGTTCCTAGCCCATTCATTCATGCTAAATGACACCCCTGGGGGAATCTCCACTGAGAGGCCACGGGCGGGCACTCCCTAGATGCACCAGGCAGCACCTGGAGTCCAGAAGTTTGAGGCTGCAGTGAGCTATGATCATACCACTGTACTCAAGAGTGAGACTTTTTTTTGACAGTCTCACTCTGTTGCCCAGGCTGGAGTACAGCGGGATGACCTCAGCTCACTGCAACCTCCGCCTCCTGGGTTAAGAAAACAACAGTGATGTCAGGTTTTTCTGAGACTCCTTTGATCATTTTAAACCAGATTCTTAGCATGGCTTGAGCCAGATCTGTTCCTCACCCCCTTTTTTCCAAAGAAGATGGTGTACCCACAATTTTACCATATCATATTGGAATCTCAGTCCTGAAGATGGTCCAGTCTTTGTAAATAAGTTGGATTTTCCTCATGATGTGTGTGGGTTTTTTTTTAATATCAATTTTATTTTTTTGAGACAGGGTTCCGCTCTGTCACCCGGGCTGAAGGGCAGCAGCGCGATCAGGGCTCACTGCAGCTTTGACTTTCTGGGCTCAAGCAATCCTTGTGCCTCAGCCTTCTGAGTAGCTGGGACTACAGGTGCACAACCACATCCAGCTGATTTTTTCTATTTTTTGTAGAGACCCAAAGCATTGGGATTACAGGCATGGATTACGGGGCCTTTATTTTTATTTTTAACTTTTTGACAAGACACGCTTTCTATTAGAGCTGCTTTTTGTCTCCCTGGCTCAGTCTCCTGATGTAGAATCATTGTGTTGCTGATTTTCAGTTGAAAATGTTTAAACTGCTTCCTCTGAGAATAAGTTTGAGTTTTAGTAAGCTGTAAAGCTATTTGGTTCACTGTGAATAAGACAAGTACACACAAAAAAGTGAAAACACAGTACGTTTCAAGTGTAATCCCCTTTGGAATTTTTCCAAAGTCTTAGTATATGTCTTTGTGACACAAAAACAGATGGGACAGGTAAATAAAATGTTCCTAGTTGCATAGCTGTTACTGTGCTTCAAAAATAAATCAGTTTTACCACAGCTGGATTCTTTATTGTCAAGGTGTCTATTAGTTTCTCCTACTGGCTTTCCCTCTAGATTGGTCTGCCCTGTTAAAAATTGTGCATGTAGGCTGGGTGTGGTGGCTCACGCCTGCAATCCCAGCATTTTGGCTGGTTTCATGAGGCCAGGAGTTTGAGACCAGCTTGGTCAACATGGTAAGACCCTGTCTCTACCAAAAACACAAAAATTAGCTGGGTGTGGTGGCACACACCTGTAATCCCAGCTCCTCGGGAGGCTGAGGGAGGAGAATTGCTTGAACCTGGGAGGTAGAGGTTGCAGTGAGCTGAGATCGCACCACTGCACTCCAGCCTGGGCAACAGAGTGAGACTGTCTCAAAAAAAAAAACCAAAAACAAAGTGGGTGTGAAGAAGACTGAGGCTGTGGCTGGTCTCAGCAGTTGCGGGTCCGTGCTGTTCCACCTGGGGCGATATGAAGGACTCAAATCCACCTTTTCCAGGAGAAGCAGTGAGGCCACAGCGAGGACCTCCCTTTGCTGGATGTGCAGCAGGCTGTTCCCAAGGACGCAGGCTGCTTACCCATTTCCTAGACTTCAAAAATCCTCATTACAACTATGAAGCCTTCTTATAGAAGCCGCTCTTCTACTTTAAACCTGCTGCAGAGCTCTCCTTGACTGATCAAACCTGAGGCTCCTGCTGTCCTGGGTTTGCCCTGGGGCAGCTTCCCAGAGGCCTCTGGAAGGGGGATGGGGGCGGAACTGCAGAATGTCAGGGGTCGAAGGGTAGAAGCAAGACAAGCCACTCTAGTTGGCATTCTTCCAGATAAAATGGGTCCAGCTTTGGATCCAGCTTTGGTTTGACATTGAGCTCAGCTGAGGAGCTGTGCCCCAACTGCAGCTGGCATGAGATGAGGCCACAGAGGCTCCGGCTTCTGGGGAAAAAGTCCACCTATGGGGTGGGGTGGGGATAAGACCATAGAAGTCAGGGGTGGGGGAGGGAGGCATTAAGGTGAAGAAGACACAAGATAGGGGCAATTGAGAGAGGGGTTCTGGGAACTGGAGCAATTCCTTGGAATCACAGAGCCTACCAGGAGAGATTGTATAGAGCCAGGACCAGTAACATAATCTGTGGGACTCTGTGCAAAATCAAAACACAAGGCTCCCTGTTCAAAATGTGCAACAATTTCAAGATGCCAGCAGAGTATGAAACCAAACACGGGTTCCTTCTAAGCTCAGGGCCCTGTGCGAATGCACAGGTCACATGCCTAGTAATCCAGCCTGCCTGGAGTTACCTAAAAGACAAGCAAGATAACATCCTCAGTGCTGAGTGTATTCAGAACAAAACTGAAAGAAGTCAGAGGCCAACACGCGTGTACTTCATAGCTGGAAAAGGCCATGGCATCGGAGCAGGTGCTGGTCCCCAACTGCTACCTGAGGGTCTGCCCGCTGCAGCTACCCGAGGACTAAGTGGGGCTCCCTTGGCTTTCCCTGGAAGGGGCTAGAGGGGAGAAATCAAGGGACTTGGGCAAATCACACTGTGAATCATCCACTTCCAAATGAGTGAGTGCTGTCAGTCGGGGTAGCTCTAGAATCATCCCAGTTTGTATTAGCCAAGGCTCTTGGCTACAAGTGTGGGTCACAAAACCAAATGGCAGGAGGCTAGCGGTGGAAGGCAGCTGACTGGAATCAGAGCCTCAAAACCGTCAGGACTCTTGTCTGTTAACTTCTGTACCTGTTTCCTTCTGTTTATTCTCTCCTTCCAAGGTTTTTCCTGCACAATGAGAGCCATTCTCATGGTCGGCTTAAGCACACATCCTTCCAACTAAAGGACTCAAGAGACGGTTTCAGAAAGATCCCAGGGAAGGATTCTGATTGGCCTGGCTTAGGTCACGTGCCCACCCCTGGCCCCATCACCATGGGATAAGGAAATACTACAATTGGCCCAGCCTGGATCTCAGGCCCACCTCTGGCTAGGATGAGGACATATCTGGGCTTGTCACCTCATAGCCGAACCCATATGGCTGGTGGGAGCTTGGGGAAGGGAGAGGAGCAGTGCCCTGAAAGAAGGGGGGACACTGTTTAAGCAGACAACACGCATGGCCACAGCAATGTGCAAACTGCGACAAGGCTTCGGATGGTCCCGCCCTCCTCCACCCTCTACCCTGGTCCTATTTGAGAAAGGGGCGGCTGGGTTAGGAAACCCTTGTTTTTGCCCATCCATAGACAACATGGTCTCCTGTGGGAGGAAAGTGGAAGGGCCGCTGCCACAGAGCCAGAGGTATCACTATGTTAACCTCACCAATACAGTGACTGTGGCCAGAGGGCCCCTCCGGTGGCATACCACCAAAAACCCCTGTCAAGGAGGAAGAGGCTCTGCAGAGTCAGAAGGTGACTCTGAGTCACTTCTGAACAGATGCCCTCTAAGCTCAAGAAGCTCCTGGAATCACAGTAGTTCATCCCAGCCACCTGAAAATGGGGATGGGGGCCTGACCCAGTGGGATAATTAATATGTCCTGAGTTCTTGGGGACAGCTCTCTGTCCTCATGGAGGGATGACACACCTATCCCAATGCCCAGAAACAGGAAAGGTGCTGGGTAAATGA